AAAATTGAGGCCTTAGGTACTAAAAATTATTCATTAAAGTCTGTCTAATAAGTACAAAGCTCTTTAAAATTAAACTCTATCATGAAAAATGTAAAGAACAGCCTTAGTAGTAATTCCAGATCAAGGGTCCCCTTGGTCTCTGAGTTCACATTACAGATATTATGGATGACTGGCTGTGGATGCCAGATCACCAGGAGGTGTGTCAGCAGAGAGCATGAGCTCAGCTGTAGAGGCTGCCTGTAACTCAATGATTTTGCTCAGCTTTTTGCACAATTTTAATATGTCCCAATTCTTTTATGAAGGAAACAAATAAATGTAAAATATGTCATCATGACCTTGTAAGTCAAAGGGAACCTGGAAATTAAATTTTGTTTATTTTTTCCACGTGAAAGCAGTTGCCATATCTAAACAACTCAAAAAAAAGGGAAGAATCAATTTTGCATTTAATTTATCATTTTGAGTAAATGTCAGAGAATATCTACATGGAGGAAATAGAATGCTGAGTGAAAAAAGCGAGCTTTTAAAACTATTTGTACGAAAAGGATATTGACAGTAACTAGTAGCCTTATGAAGAAAGAATGATTTTAGTAACGGTAAATACATTAATATTATTAAGATGTCAGCTGGGCGAGGTGGCTCATGCCTGTAATCCCAGCACTTCGGGAGGCCAAGGGTGGATCACCTGAGGTCGGGTGTTCGAGACTAGCCTTACCAACATGGAGAACCCCCATCTCTACTAAAAATACAAAATTAGCCAGACATGGTGGCGCATGTCTGTAATCCCAGCTACTCAGTGGGGCTGAGGTAGGAAAATCACTTGAACCTAGGAGGCAGAGGTTGCAGTGAGCCAAAATTGTGCTATTGCACTCCAGCCTGGGTGACTGATTTTTGTATTTTTAGTAGAGACAGGGTTTCACCATATTGGCCAGGCTAGTCTTGAACTCCTGACTTCAAGTGAACCACCCGCCTCGGCCTCCTAAAGTGCTAAGATCACAGGCATAAGCCACCGTGCTCGGCCCTTTTTTTTTTTTTTTTTTTTTTTTTTTTTTTTTTTTTGGTTAGAAATAGAAAAGCCTGTCCTAAAATGTCTGGAATCTCAAGGGACCCTGAATAGAAAAAAGCAAAACTGGGCCAGGCGTGGAGGCTCACACCTATAATCCCAACACTTTGGGAGACCAAGGCAGGTAGATCACTTGAGGTCAGGAGTTTGAGACCAGCCTGGCCAACATGGTGAAACCCTATCTCTTCTAAAAATACAAAAAGGAAAAAAGAAAAATAGTCAAGCATGGTAGCAGGTGCCTGTAATCCCAGCTATTCAGGAGGCTGAGGCAGAAGAATTGCTTGAACCCCAGAGGCAGAGGTTGCAGTGAGCTGAGATCAAGCCACTGCACTCCAGCCTGGGTAACAGAGCAAAACTCTGTCTCAAAAAAAAAAAAAAAAAAAAAAAAGAGCAAAACTGGAAGACTCACACTTTTTATTTCAAAACTTAACACAAAGCTGTAGTAATCAAAACAGTATGGTACTGGCATAAAGACAAACATATAGACCAGTGGAATAGAATTGAAAGCTTAGAAATAAACCTTCACATACATGGTCACATGATTTTTGACAAGGGTGCCAAGACCAGTCAATGGGGAAAGGACTGCATTTTCAGCATTGAAAACTATTAAGAAAACTGTATATCTGCATACAAAAGAATGAAATTGGACCTTTACCTAACGCCCGTGTATAAAAATTAACTCAAAGTGGTTCCATGACCTACAACTATAAAACTCTTGGAAGAAAACATGAACAAAACTTCATGACATTGGATTTGGCAGTAATTTCTTGGATATAACAAAGAAAAAATAGGCACAGGATTTTATGAAAATTTTAAAAATTTGTACATCAAAAGACACTATCAACAGAGGAAAAAGGCAAGCCACAGAATGGGAGAAAATATTTGCAAATCATATCTGATAAAGGATTGATGTCCAGAATATATAGAGAACATCTAAACAACAACAAAACTCTGTTCAAAAATGGGCAACGGTCTCGAATAGACATTTCTCCAAAGAAGATATCAGATGGCCAGTAAGCACAAGAAAAGATGTGCAACATCGCTAATCAAAAGTACAGTTAGATATCTCCTCACACCCATTAAGATGGCCACGATCCAAAAACAGAAAATGACAAATGTCGGTGAGGATGTGGAGAAATTGGAACCCTTGTGCACTATTGGTGGGAATGTAAAATGATATAGCCACTGTGGAAAACAATATGATAATTCCTCAAAAGATTAAAAATGGAACTACCATATGTTGCAGCAAATCCACTTCTGAGTATATATCCCAAAGAATTGAAAGCAGGATCTCAGAGAAATATTTATCTGCCTGTGTTCACAGCAGCATTATTTATTCACAATAGCTAAAACGTGGGAGCACCCAGGTGATCATCAGCAGATGAATGGGTACACAAAATGTGGTATATTCTACACAATGGAATATTACTTACCCTTTAACAGGAAGGAAATTCTGACAAATGCTACGACATGGATGCACCTTGAGAACACTCTGCCAAGTGAAATAAACCAGACACAAAAGGACAAATACTGTGTGGTTGTACTTATGTGAAATAGAGTAGTCAAAATCATAGAGACAAAAAACAGCTGTGGATCTAAGACTTAAAACTATCAAACTCTTAGAAGAAAACATGGGACAAAACATAATGACATTGGATTTGCTGGTGATTTCTTAAATACGACAACAAAGGCACACACACCTATAGTTCCAGCTGTTTGCATCAGGAGACTAAGGCAGGAGGATCACTTGAGCCCAGGAGTTTGAGACCAGCCTGGGCAGCATAGTGAGACCCTGTCTCTAAAAAATAAAAACAAAAATGAAAAAAATCATTGAGGCAGAAAGTAGAATGGTGGTTGCCAGGGGCTAGGGAGATGGTAGAACAGGAAGTTTAATGGTCCAGAGTTTGAGTTTTACAAGATGAAGAGAGTTGTGGAGATGAATGAAGGTGGTAGTTGCACAGCATTCTGAGTGTATTGAACATCCCTGAACTGCACACTTAAGAATGTAATTTTATGTTATGTGCATTTTACTACAAAAAAATAATTTTTAAAACTGTACAGTACAATCCTAATGATTATCTTTTTAAAGTTGTAGTTAAGATTAGAAGGAAATAATTACGATATTTTAAATTTTCTTTTATACTTGAGTTTGCCCAAGCTATCTATAAAAACAAGTATATTGCTTTTAGTATCAGAAAAAGAGGCCGGGCGTGGTGGCTTAAGCCTGTAATCCCAGCACTTTGGGAGGCCAAGGCGGGTGGATCACGAGGTCAAGAGATCGAGACCATCCTGGTCAACGTGGTGAAACCCCGTCTCTACTAAAAATACAAAAAATTAGCTGGGCATGGTGGTGCATGCCTGTAATCCCAGCTACTCAGGAGGCTGAGGCAGGAGAATTGCCTGAAACCAGGAGGCGGAGGTTGCAGTGAGCTGAGATCGCGCCACTGCACTCCAGCCTGGGTAACAAGAGCGAAACTCCATCTCAAAAAGAAAACTGTAAAACACAGGCATAAAAATTAAAAAGCAAGACAAATTAGTAAGAAGGGGAAATTTTTCTATTTAATGAGACTTTTCTGTCCATTCAGTTTCTTTTACTGCTTCCTAAAATCTTTGCAGTGACCAGGAGGTCTTTTGCAGGGGAATTACTCTATCTGTTGTCTTACTTGTCTGCTGACTGTCTTAGGTGAAGGAGACATTACTGGGTTTGGTACCTGTGGATTTGCCCACAGCCCTAACATGTTTACCCCAATTAGTCCCTGTCCCCTTACCCACTTAACAGCTTGTGCTTGCAAGACCACTGCCATGTTACAGCTAAGTCTGCAGCTTCAGAGCAAAGCTGACTCAACTGGCTTATTTATCCACTTCGGCTAACTAAATGGCACCACCATCTCTATTCCATGCCCACTTTTTTTGTTGTTGTTGTTATTTTTTCTCCATGCCCATTTTCAGTAGTCCCTGAGTAACTGCAAATTGACACCTGATACTTTCCCAGAAGGGATCATGAATTTGCCTGTTTTTTCAAGGGATCATGAAATTTGGATGGCAAATTATAATCTTAGAATTGTCAGAAATTTTTCTTCCTTACTGGCCCATAAAAATAATAGTATGTCTTACAGTTTGTAGCATCATAGGATCAAGAAAAATGGGTATTTATGCATACAGTAAAAGCATACTGCAAAGAAAAAGAAAAATGAGACACACACTGCTAAAATAGTACTTACTACAAACAAATAGTTAATGTCTCTATTCTACAGAGCATTTGTGCAATGTAGGGAGGTTTATTATTTTGTTGTATTTATAGAGGCAAACAGTTTGGACTTGTAGTGCTAATTTTACATTTTAAGTCTTTGTTTTAGTCCTGCTGCATATACACTGGGTCAAAAGGAAGACTTGGACTTTTCAGGATATTAGTCACCCATTACTTTGTATTTGAAAAGCATGACTGTAAGTCAAATTATTTAATATGAATTGAAGAGTAAGTCCAGGTTGCTGCTAACTCCTCATGTTATCATTCATCCTTGGCTATAAAAGGACAGTCTCAGATGGTCTGCCTTGTGTTACTGTAAGGAGAAAAGAGAAAAGGAAAACCTTGTGATTGACAACCAAAATGGCTTTTGCATTGTGAATATGGATCAGAGCTTCCACTATGGCTTGCAGGCACTGAATTGATATTGATAAGGAAGAAACTGATAATGAGTGCCTTCTGTCCTCAAACACTCATTACCTAGGTTCAGAGAAACTCTAGCCATTAATATTAGCATTTCAGAATTCCTCTTGGCTTTATCCATTAGCACTGTTATCACGTATTTGCTGGTAGGATCACAACTATGGTCAGTAGAGAGACCCACGGAAGGCATTGAAAGGATGGTTTGTCTTGGCTGCAGTGCTGTCCCTCTCTTCATCTTACACATCCCCCTCTCTCCTGTTCCTGTACCCGCAGCGAAGCTGCCGCCCATGCTGTCGCCACCCTGGCTGAGGCCACCTTACAAGGTGGGGGACAGATCGTCTTGTCTGGGGAAACCGCAGCAGCCGTCGGAGCACTTACTGGAGTCCAAGATGCTAATGGTAAGAGAGCATAAATATTTTATTGAATTTCTTCCCTGTTTCCACTTAAACCTTCCTGACGTGACTGGCAACAAACCCTTCAGAAAGAGTGTGAGCTTTGATTTTTTTTCTTCATTCATAGGCATTTGATGCCTAGGAATATTCTCGGAGCCTGTGATTCCTTTCACTAGTAGGAGACATGGGGGTTCCTGAAGGAAAATGCCATGATAATGACTACCTAATTGAATTGTTACTTAAAAGGGATTATCTTGTTGTGACAAGACTTGCTGAGAGGCACCTTAAAATTTGCTGTGAGGCACATTTTGTCTTTTAGTTATCATCAGGTAGGGTAGATCAGTGTCCTTTACCGTAGCAGAGACTCTCCCATGGGCAGGACCGTCATGGAATGTTCTGACTACATCAAGGAAGGCTCCACCGTCTCACCTGTGCTCAAGGTCAGGCAGCAGGCTGTGATGCTGGTGCCTCTCTGGTTGGTACTGTGGTTCTGCTTCCTGTTATATGTAGCCTCACCAAGGACCTCTGGATTTAGCCAATTACATGACCCCACCCTGCGCTTCTTCCCCAGCTCTTTGACTTCCTGGATATTGGTGAATAAGAGACGAAATTCATAGAAATACAATGGCAAAAAGATACAATTCCAGCCCAGCTCTTTGGGTCCACTTGGTAAGGAGTCAGTTGGCAAGACTTAGGCTGTTCAAGGAAGTGCCTCAGAAGTCTGGGTCAAAGAGGAGGGCCACATATTTTCTGTGAGATCCTATGTGATTGTTTGTTACATTTTTAAATAATATATAATTAAGCAGAACAAATTAAATACTCCATGGCTTTGAGGAAATTGTTGCTTTAAGGTCCTGGAATGAGGCCGGGCATGGTGGCTCATGCCTGTTAATCCCAGCATGTTGGGAAGCCAAGGTGGGTGGAACATCTGAGGTCAAGAGTTCAAGACCAGCCTGGCCAACATGCCAAAACCCTGTCTCTACTAAAAACACAAAAATTAGCCAGGTGTGGTGGCATGCGAGGCTGAGGCAAGAAAATCTCTTGAACCCGAGAGGCAGAGATTGCAGTGACCTGAGACTGTGTCATTGCACTCCAGCCTGGGTGACAGAGTGAGACTCCATCTCAAAAAAATAAATAAATCCTGGAATGAAGATAGATAAATAACATTCTTCCATCATTTAGGCAGAGGTTCATTAATGGCATTAGTGGCACTTTGTTAATGGTAGGTCCCTAAGAACTGAATGCTTTCTTACTTGGAAAAGTCTTTGAAGAAAAACATACTGCTGTGTCCTCCTTTGGAATAGGAGGAAACAAAGTACCTCTGTTCCCCCAGAGAAGAAGAACATAGGAAATGCAAAGAGCCATCGTGGCGTCTGAGAATTATTTTCCAAAAATGCCAAACAAATTCAATTCTAAAGCTATAGCCCTACTTTTTCTGTAGGGCAAGAGGCTTTCATGAACTAACCTAAATCTAGACAGTTGGTCTGAGCCAGAATGCTGCAGGACAAAGGACATCTTATAACCACACATGTTCAGAATGAAATGGACCATGGTTGGAATTAAGAAAAACCTCTCTCTCTAGTTAGAATCCGACTTCTATTTTTTTACCTTTTTCTATTCCTCATCAGAGTCCTAATCCACTCTGAGCAAAGGATAGGATATCTGGCTATGTGGCATTCATCTGAAGTGTGATTGCTATTATTCACTATGGAACTGCTAAAAATAACTTCCTATGTGGGTTCGGTAGGAAACTTTATTATCCATTCTAATCAACTTGACCTGTCTGAGAGAGAACAGACTGCTTTATAGTTCTGGCTCCCCTCCAGCATCACCTTTTCAGATGGATGAATTTATAGGTAAGTCTAAGGACCATCTGGCTCTTGGCCAAGTAGACCTGTTCAGCCATATAATAAAGTTGACCCACGCCCGCTATTATTGATTACTGGAAGCCGCCTCTTTTCAGTAGCATTGGGTTGTGTGAATCATTTGGTGTGATTGCATGTTGTTGGCTATATTTGTGATCTGGGAATATTCTGGTTTACATCCTAAAAGCCAGTAGTTCCCCCAAAGCAGGCCATCCGCAGTCTATGACTGCCAATATTTGCTGAACTCAGGCCTCGAGAGTTGGAAGTTATCCTTTTCTCAATGCAGCTTTTCTGTATCAAATCAGACCCTTGAGTTGTGCCATATCCCAGCAGTTTTTGGCAAAGGCCAATCATTTCATCTGCCCTTGGAAATCCAAAGAATTAATCTAATATTGGACGTGATCCAAATAACTTTGATAATCCTTCTGTCTTCTAAAATTTTTACCCACAATGCTAGGATTTACTTCAGGATTGGAACCAGATATTTCCCTCTTAATCAGCAATTTTGATATCTGGCTAGACTTTTAGAGGTTCTCTTTTTCATCATTCTTTCGAATTGTGTCCTGTTGCCAGTGTTTGTCACTTCTTTTTTTGTGGGAGAGGGCGGGACAGTCTTGCTCTGTCACACAGGCTGGAGTGCAGTGGCATGATCTCGGCTCACTACAACCTCCACTTCCCGGGTTCCAACGATTCTCGTGCCTAAGCCTCCTGAGTAGCTGGATTACAGGCATGCCACACCATGCCTGGCTGATTTTTTTTTTTTTTTATTGCATTTTAGGTTTGGGGGTACATGTGAAGAACATGCAAGATTGTTGCATAGTTACATACCTGGCAGCGTGATTTGCTACCTTCCTGCCTGGCTAATTTTTGTGTTTTTAATAGAGATGGGCCATGGCTGGTCTTGAACTCTGACCTCAGGTGATCCACCCACCTCAGCCTCCCAAAGTGCTGGATATACAGGCATGAGGCACCGTGCCTGGCCTATGTTTGTCACTTCTGAGCCGACAAGCTTATGGTATCTGCCAGTAGGTCACTTTTTTTTTAAACTTGTTTCTTTTTTTAATAGAAATGAGGTCTCTCCATATTTCTCTGGCTGGTCTCAAACTCTTGGGCTTGAGCAGTCCTGCCACCTTGGCCTCCCAAAGTGCTGGGATTATAGGCATGAGCCACCACAGCCCAGCCAGTCCAAGTTTTTTAAATCAGAAAGTTTATTATCAGGAAGAACCAGATGAGAGCAGAACAAGGTGCTGTTTGTTGACGTAGAACTAACTTGGAAACAGATACTACTTAGGGGAAAAAATGTATCCCATATTTCAGAGTATGGTTTACATAAAAATGAGAATAACAGATGACTCTTCTAAGAGCAATTTGGATATTATTCAGTCCTAAAGTAGCATTTGTTGGATGGAACTAGCAGGGATAGAGGACCACTGCATGTGGAGCTTGATGAAGTCCATAACCACATTGGACTTCATTGGCTGGGGCAGGTGAGGTTATGAAGCAGTATCCTGGGGATGGTGTTTTTCAAGTTAGAGATAATAGGCCAGGCACAGTAGCTTATGCCTGTAATCCCAGTGCTTTGGGAGGCCGAGGTGGGAGGATTGCTTGAGTCTAGGAGTCCAAGACCAGCCTGAACAACATAGTAAGACTCCATCTCTACAAAAAATTTAAAAACTTAGCCAGGGGTGGTGATGCACATCTGTAGTCCCAGCTATTTGGGGACCTAAAGTGGAAGGATTGCTAGAGCCCAGGAAGTCAAGGCTGCAGTGAGCCATGATCACACCACTGCACTCCAGCCTGGGTGAGAGGTAGAGACCCTGTCTCAAAAAAAAAAAAAAAAAAAAAAAAAAAAAGCCAGATGCAGTGGCTCACACCCATAATCCCAGCACTTTGGTAGGCCAAGGCAGGTGGATCACCTGAGGTCAGGAGTTCAGGACCACTTGACCAGCATGATGAAACCCTGTTTCTACTAAAAATACGAAAAATAAGCCAGGCGTGATGGCAACACCTGTAATCCCAGCTACTTGGGAGGCTGAAGCATGAGAATCACTTGAACCCTGGAGGTGGAGGTTGCAGTGAGCCAAGATCATGCCACTGCAATCCAGCCTGGGTGACAGAGTCTTTTTTTAAAGACTCCATCTTTAAAAAAAAAAAAAAAAAAAAAAAAAGATAATGACCCATGCATGCCAGAAGTTTAAATTCTGGACCACCAAAGCAGACCTGACAAAGACATTGCACCCAGCACCTGTGCATCCTGAAGACTTCTTTCTTCTGGACGTCTATCCCAACACTAAAGGAACTACCCAAGCACTCACATTACTTTATTTTCGTGTTCTCTGTCTTTTTCAATAGGCTTTGGTCTCTTAAACCATCAATATAAAGATTTTCACAAGTGCTTTTCATTTAGATGCAGGTAAAATTGCCTAAGGCTGGGGAAGGCTACTAGATGAATTCCTTCCTTTACTTCTTTGTTTGTTTGTTTTGAGATAGGGTCTTGCTCTGTCACCTAGGCTGGTTCACTGCAGCCTTGACCTCAGGCTCAAGCTATCCTCCCACCTTAGCCTGCTGAGACTCGGGGACCACAGGTGTGCACTGCCACACCTGGCTAATTTTTTAAATTATATTTTTTGTAGAGATGGGATCTCCCTTTGTTACCCAGGCTGATCTCAAACTCCTGGGCTCAAAAGGATCCTCCTGCCTTAGCCTCTCAAAGTGTTAGGATTATAGGCATGAGCCACTACACCCAGCCCTTTACTTCTTTTTTTGAACACAGTTATCTCAATACTCTTTTCATCTTATACACCTTAATGTAAGCAGTTATGCAGTTCAGCCCATTTGTTTTTCTTCACTCTACCTTCCTCTCTGCTGGTCACCAGAACCCCCTGTGTTCCAGGACTCTGACCTTCAGGACCGACAAATAGGGGCCTTCACTACAAATACAGGCCTTCACTAGGGCTTCAGGAGCTCTTTGTTGAATGCCTCTCACCTTTCACACCCATTGCTGGCAAACCTCAGAAAACCAGGTCTACAGACCTTTCTCTTCCTTCCCATTGCAGCAAACATAATGAAAGATAAGGATTATATTGGCACTTGGCCACCTCAGAAACACTCTTCTGTCTGAGATCTTATCGCAGATTCATA